GGGGGGGGGAATGACTCGGAGTTGGCAGAAACATACATTGTTACAGGCTAGCACAGAAACCGGGGTATCTTGGTGGAATAAAATAGTGCTAGCAGAGAAAAGGATTCTTCATGGATTTTCAAATATTGTGCATGGTTTCTAGAAAGTTTGAGAACTGTAGATGGGGTGAATTGGACTATGAAAGCTGGTTAAAACTAAGTTCTGTCCATTAGTGATTGTAAGATGGTATCTTGGTTCTCAGCAGACAGTTGTGTTTTGTCATATTAATTCCCTTTTTTTCTGATTGAAACTGGAATTTTACATAGGTTATGAGACCCATAGTGACCTACTTTTTAAAACAATGTTAGCTGTTTTGTGAAGCAGTCAAGTTGTCTTTTGAGAATTCAAATTCAGAGTTCATGAGTTGCATGTTGGTTTTGTACTAGCCTTTCATCTCTGAAGACTTCTGTGAAAATCTTTAGGTCAGAATGGAAATGATTGTGGTCTTATCTTAGTCCTCCTTTGGACATACTTATTTGTCTTGTTTTGTTTTAAAATTCATTCTTATTTATTTAGAAAGTGCCTATCCTATTATGTTAGGTGCATATGCAGATTGTTAGTAAATATTAGATCCAAAATAACTTGACTGCCCTGTCTAAACCTTGCCATTTTCTGCACCACACACAAGTTTACTTGATAAGCACTTGCTATGCAGAGTAAGAATAAAGTATCAGCCATGTTCAGTGGTCCTCTGACCATCCTTACAGCTGATAAATGTCTGCATAGGTTTCTTCTCTTCTCCCCAGCTGCTCCTCATCTGTGATGAGCTTTCTAGAATTGTCTGGTTAACCTTGTTTAAAACAGAGATGTCCAAAGCCAGCACATAAGGTGAAAGAAATTCTCGTGGCCTTGCGTATCATTTATATCTGCAGCCTTTTACATCATGAATGCTAAATAATGGAAACCTTTATTTTTGCTACTTTGTTGAGCGTGTAGCAGTGTTCTTTTGAGTGCTGCTGTACCTGGATCCAGTTCAGTTCTAACTTTAGAAATGTATTAGCATTTTCTGTTGTCACTGTTGGTATGATTCTTGCCCCCTCCATCCCACACCCTCCTTGTTTTAGGTGTCCTACCTTTTTTAGCCCCGTTGCTTTTCTGATTTAAAAAGAGGCACTGTTGAAGTTGAATTTTAGCCATTCCCTTTTTTTTTCCCACTTCTTTGACAAGTAAGCGCTTTGAATAAGACAGATATCTGAGTTCCATCATCTCAGGGAGCAAATGTGCGTAGTTGTCTCCTGAGCTTCGATGTCCCTCGCGGGTCTGCCATTTTTACATTCTCTTTGCAGTATGTCTATTGATAGGTATGAGCCAGATGACTCCAGTTCTGATTCCAAAGTAGAAGTGGGAGAGGCAATGCGTACCAAAAGTGAACTCATTACAGTGGTGGGATGCATTTGAATTAAATTCAAATCCATATGAAAGGTGTTTCACTCTGTATGTCTGGCTTCTATTATACTTGTCAAACTTATTTACTTGGTACTCACTTGAAGATAGCTCTTTGATCATTATCCCTTCAGTGTATGGAGGATTAACATGTGTCAGTCACGATCTTTATTAGGTGTCAAACACAAAAATCCCTCAAATATTCAGTAGGAGATTAGAAACCTTTTTGATACAACCAAAAAAAAATTTGTTACACCTTAAATACTTATGTAAAAAGGGGAAATATCTGAACAAGTTATCTGCTGTATTGACTTTCCAGGACTCTGTATGTGTAAATAGAGCCTATTTATTAGTCAGCTGCAACTAACATTAATAAGAACCTGTTATATCACAGTTTGACAAGTGAGGCTTCCTATTAATAATCTTGGTTTATATTGAACATATGTATTTTTCTGAAGTAACTAGCACTGAAAAATTAAAACACTGGATTAATTTGTTGAAACACTAGAAACTAATGTTTAGCTTCTCTTTTTATTTAAAAAATAGAATGTTTGCATTTGAAGAAAGTTTGGGGGTTAATAAATATGGGGTGCTTTAAATGGGCAGTTGTTTGCACGTTGTAGCCTTCTCACCTTCTTGTTTCATAAATATAAAACATCAAGGATTCTATAGATCTTCCTTGGTTGTCTTGAGATGGTGTAACTGCTGAAGTTTTACTGTTAAATCAAATGTTATCAAATGTTTAGCTATTTCCTGTTATCTTTTCTTTACAGAGATTTGTCTTTGTATTAACTCTTCGGTGCTACTGAATATGGGCTTAAGTGATGCAGAATTTTAGTGTGTACCGTGTTAGGCACCAATGATGTCAACAGTTATTATTACAAGTGCCCAAGTGTTTCAGACAGCAGTGTTGAAATGTTACAGATTAAGAAATCTTTTGCAAAAGCTGCAAATAAGTTTGGGATTTTTTTTATTGTTTTTTGTTGTGTTGGGCGTTGTGTACCCCCCCCAGCAGTTGCTCTACAGAGTGGAAAATATGACACAAAAGAGGTATTTTTAAGTTAAATCCTTTTTCAACTGTGGAACCAACTTTTTTTTTAACTTTTTTTTTTTTTTCCTGGAATGTGAAAAATAGTTCTAATGGGATATGGGGAAAAGGTGGATGGTAACAAACATGCAGTGTCAGGTTTGGTTACTTCAATGCTATTGCAATATAGTTACTACAGATTACATAAAAATTGTTTATTTTATTAGCTTACAAATACTGTATATATAGATTTGTTAATGGCTTACAAGTCAAGCTTACTCTATTTGCTTTTTAAAGAATAGTTATAGGCATGTTGTATTTGCCTTGTGTAAATTATAAAAGGCTATTTATTAAGTTTTCTGATAACTAATCTATTTATTAACCTGTATTGTTTTAAAATAAATGATTTATTTCTAGCTCAATGCTTGTTTTGTGACTCCTCTTTATCACACGCAGGGAAAAAACTGTTAGTTTCCCACACACCTAGCTGCTGTATAGCCTAATCCCAGTTCATAAGCCCAAACTATTTCCATTACCCTTTCATAAAGTAGCAGCCTTGCTTTTACTGAGAGTAGCA